ACTTCTCAGGTGTTCCCAAGGTATAGAGGTATTGCACTTTGAGGCATGCAAAGTATTTTACATATGTATATTAATTTTAATTTGTATAACTGTTAGCGAAGTTAGCAGGTAACATACTTGTTCATTTAAATATTTTCAAATTTCTTTTTTATTATCGTTATTAGCGTGGACACAATCGCCAATTAGGTTTATGTGACATAACAATAACTTCACTGATTGGTTAGATTTGTGTAACCTTTTACGATGTTTTTTTTTTACTACAAATATAAGACATTTGAGACCATCGGCTCGAGGGTCATACTGACTCTAACGGCTTGTTGATCCTGGTCTTTGTGCGACAACATCGCGCAGCTACCTATAAGGTATCACAGATTGTGTGAATACAGTACATTTAATGTTAGACTGTAGCGGGTAGATCAACAACTCCTCCCTTAATATTAAGTACATTTGCTATTAGAAAGGAAAATGTCACAAAAAATCAAGGTTAATGTTATTGGTGCTGGCGTAATAGGTCTTACCACCGCTTTAGTTCTGCAAAGAAATGGATATCAAGTGAGAATTTTATCTGAACATTGGCCCGGCGATTTAGATATTAATTATTCAAGTCCTTGGGCAGCTGCGGCCTGGAGAGCTAACCTCCATATTGATGATGAAAGAGTACATGGTAAATGCGATAATTATGATTAGATTTTTGTTATTTTCATTAAAATTACGATCATAATTTGAATAGAGTGTGAAAGAATTTCGTGGAATGAATTTTGGACCTTATCTGAAACCCCAGAAACTGGATTAATGCGCGTGCAAATTTATGATTTTATGGATAAAAAACCTGAGTTGAAAGGTGATATTTGGTTTAGAGATTTCGTTCCGGAGGTATTACTTTTCCTTTTATTGAGATGGCAAATTCTTTGTAGATTTATTCGCTTGGGTCACCTCTCTTTTTTTATCTAGTTCAGAGTAATACCACCAAAAGAATTGCCATCTGGTGTCGAATACGGAGTGTCTTATACAACAGGTTCATTATTATCCCATTGTTTAACCATTTTCATTTTGTAACTAACACACATTTTCGCATAAGCATGACGCTTTATTAACAATAGTTAGTTTAAATGTTCAAAAATATCTACAATGGCTACTTGACCAATTCACCACTAATGGTGGCATAAGAAAAAAAGTCTATCTTTCTCATATTAATGAATCATTTTTTGATGATGATGATATTAATGTGGTGATAAATTGCACAGGAGTTAATGCTAGAACTTTTGGTGGTGTTATGGATACCACGGTTTTTCCTTCACGTGGCCAAACTGTTTCTGTTTGGGCACCACACATTAAAACAGTGCATATTCTAACTAGTAAGTGCTATTTCTTGAAATTATTAAAGTTATAAATGTTGTCATTAACGTTTATTACATTTAACAAAAGATCGCGATTCTTTTACATTTGTCGTTCCTAGAGAAAGTGGGGAGGTTATTCTTGGAGGAACCATGGACATGAATGATTAGTAATTCGTCATTTATTTTCTTAGCTATCATCATTATTATATAAGCTTATGTATTCGTATTATAGGCATACTATCATGATTAATATATTATATTTAAATAGCTCTGAAAACCCAGATCCAAAGACATCATTCAACGATGCGTTAAATTGTGCCCAGAATTAACATTAGGTAAAGAACCGCAAGATTTACAAATTATAAGACATAATGTTGGACGAAGACCATATAGAAAAAATGGCATTCGATTAGAGGTTGAGATCAGAAAGAATGCTAAGAACAAAGATGTTATAGTTTGTCATAATTATGGGCATAATTCTTATGGTAATGTATTTATAAAGCAAAATATTATAATTATGATATGTATTAACCATATATTTTTATAAAACTGGTTTTATTAATTAGGATATTCATCAAGTTGGGGTTCATGTTTAGAAGCCTTTAAACTTATTAAAAAAAGTATTCAAAGAAATGTTAAGTTGCGGTCAAATTTATAATTGCATGAAATTGATGGGATTTTAAAGGTGGCCATTAGAAGAATTTTAAGAATTAATTTTGTAAAATTCAATGACATGACAAGTATCACGTAAATATACGCTCCGATCATGAAATGGTTCAGGATAATATTACTTATACAGCAGTGAACTAATACAGTATAAATATTAATGACAAGTTTACATTATCTATTGAAAACCAACGTTATTTTACTTGGAATTTTTAATCAGCTTCATCACTTTCATCTACTGTTTCAATGAAATTTATAAAAAATTATTAAATTAATATTAACTTGAAGTATGAAAGTAAAATCATTGTATCTATCCGCATATTAGTAACATACATATTATAATAGAAAGCTAATCTGAAACTATGCTTACCACATGTATCCACATTTCTTGGTATTGAAGTATTAGAAAAATTCAAAAGTCGGCTGGTATAGAATGCTCGTGGGTTGGGTACAAAATTTTTAGGATCATATCCGGTGGATTCCTTGTTAATTTCTTGAATTTGTTTATATAATTCGGATGATTTATCAATAAAATAGCCCCATTCTTCAGTCTTCCATTGATTAAAGATATTTAAAAGTTCTTCAGAAGTTGGTCGGCTGTCGGGATCTGCATTCCAACATCGTTTTATCACATCCATAAGTAGTTTAGGAATACTACAGTGAATTTTGGGACGGAGGCCCGTTAATATTTGCGTTGCAAGATAAGCATCATGTGAGATATCGTGATATGGCGGATATCCTGTTAAAATTTCTGACATTATAATTCCAAGTGAGTATATATCTGATGATTTAATATATTCTTGACCCGTTAATATCTCTGGGGCTACGTATGGAAGAACGCCATAAATTTCGGTTGAGGCTTTCAATTGTGATACTGGCCTACACATTCCAAAATCTGTAAAGTATGGATTGAATTTATTGTAACAAACTATATTACCGGGGTGAAAATCCTTATACACTAATCCTTCTTTATGTATTTCATTCAGATTATTGATAACTAGGTATATGTGTGCCGGGTCCTATGAAGATTCACATGTCCGTGTCAAAACAAACAATTTTATTGGCCCTATTTCACGTGAGTGCACACTTTAGACGACCCTGTTTAAGTCATATCAACCGATTTGGTTTGGCCCCAAAATTAGCCAATCATGATTGAGAATTATTTGTCGTTAAAATTTATTATAGAGTAAGTTTTTACAAAAACGGTTTTTTAAACTTACTTTGAATCCATAATTAAGTGTATAGAATATTGCAATATCTACATGTTTAATTATTGGCTGAAAGTAAGTTAAAAAGGCCGTTTTTCTCAAAAATCGCCTCCGAATTCACCCTTACCCATTATACAACCGATCAAACAATGACAAACCGATCGTTCACTGCCCGAAAATACCCGAACGCTTCAACAACTAGTGATAGTGCTTTCGTTATAGCTTAGAATAGCTGGATTTATTGCTTATTTATTTCATATAGAGGCTAAAAAAACATTTTTAATGATGAATGTTTCGTTTGTTATTCTCACGTCACTAAAGGACAAAAGTTCGTGTAACAGTTTATCGAAAAAGACCCCTAAAAATCAAATCGGTAGATATGTTAAATCATACAATACATATTGGGTTTAGATCTAAATTTAATCGATTTTATCAATTGAAGTAATATAATACTCAATGTTTGAATAAATGCAAATCTTAATGCTTCTAATTATCAAAAAGGCTATACAAGGTGGAGTCAAATATATCAAACTTAAAATGTTCAAATGTTGTGAAAGAAAATATATTAAATAATTTTTTTATATGCTATTCCAGATATTTTTACCAAAAAAACATACCGCTAATTGTAATTTTGTTTGTAATTCAGTTACAAATTTACAAACTTTTTCTATTTTAAAGAAATATTAGTATTGTTTGCTTGAAGAGCATCAGTAAGTACTTAAAAAACTACTTGGTTTGGATTTGCTATTTGAGATTGTTAGAGTTGTTAAGGTAGTAGCTAAGGTTGTTATAGAGATAATAAAGATAGTGTGATAGAAGGAGAAGCAGTAGATATTTTGTATAATTGTTCTAAATTATATTCAGATAATTTAGAGACTGTAGATTTATTAGTATAGGCTGTATAAAATTAAATACTTATAGTATTGAATACTAAAGGATCAAATCAAACAGTATAAAGAATAAGTTCAAAATGTCAAAAAGGAAGATTGTAAAAATTAATTTTTGTTATAGTAAAGAGCAGAAAATTCTGCAGTAAACTAAGACTAAAAGATATTAAAAGATTTAGATTTCTTTTCAAGATTAACAAGATAACAAATTTGGCAAGAGTAGTTAACAAGATGTTTTTGGGTTTAATTAATATATAATATAAAATTAATTGTGTTTAATATTTCTAGCAATAAATTCTGTAAAATTACTAGTCATTTAGGTGGGTGCAGATGCATCCGACAGGTACGACGAAAAAACTGCTGTAATAAAAAATTTATTAGCTTCTCGATCCAAACTAATGTAAGATTAATTTTTATATGAACCCACCCATTAACTATTATGGTGCTATCTTACTGACTATATGATAGAAAAAAGTTCGTTGTCAAAAATTGTTATGTTTCATATGTTATGTTTCATTATGGTAACGATAAGAATTAGTGACCAAATCCTGTGATTCTGTATTGAGCTACCTGTAACGTAACATAGAGCTCCAATTGACCTCATTTACTCGGACCAAGTCTTTTCACGCCTCAATCGTAGCATTACCACTATTGGGGTTCAGTTAGTGTAGTTTAGTGTAGTGTTATGTTGTATTATCCTGATCCCAAGGTATTTTCGCCTTCTTCAACATGCAGTTCATACCAGCATTATTTAAACCTCGTTGTCGCGCTCAATGTTTTGCACATATATCCACATCAGAATTTGATGTTCCAAGACAATTCACGGATGATCTTGATAAGAGTATACTTTAATTTAAAAAAAAACTATTAATTCGTATCTTTTTACTTAATTTCTGATATATTCGTTAAACACGTGATTGTGGTCAGATGAACATTTATGCTACCAGCTACAATTCTTTGGTTATATAACTTACCTTATAAAGCTTCAACGCTTCTACAGAAAGGAATTTTGATTTATTGATTTTTTCGACAAACAATTTATAGGTATTTATTCGATTTACGAATTTTCCCATTTCGTTTTAATAAATTATATCGATTTTACAAATAAATATTAGTAATTCTTAAGTAATACGTATTTACATAAAATGGCCTTAGTTTTATATAAGCATTAAAAATTTTATTTTTAAGAACATAAAATAAAGTTTGAAACAAAGTAAAGAAATATTCACTAAATATATTTCTAGAAAAATATAAATATAAATAAACAGGTATCTTAAATAATTTTAAGTCGGCGTAAAATGCTTTTAGTATATGTCCAAAAATTAAAACCAAAAATATTTAATGCCAATCTCTTCCATACTATTAGATAAGGTTTCCAGGTATCTACTTTCGACTTTCGGTATGATTTTTGGCAAATTACATCTGTTTCCAGGTTATTTTTATATTCTAATATAGGATCTCCAACCTCTTTAATTTCTGGAAGTTTACAACTGAGATTGTAATGTTTCGAAAGTATTACTTTAAATATGTTTACCACATTTATAGAATGTTTTGATGAACAAAATATTAATGAAGCTTTCATTTTAAAGGCATAATCATGAGCCTATGAAAAAAATGGTAAATATATATATTTTTAAAAAAACCATACATAATAACAATTTAAATATGAATCACCTTATTTGTAATATCATACTGAATTTTCTTTTCAAATTTTTTAAATATATCATATTTTGTCCCAATAAGAAAATAGATCGCATCCTGTTGATTTGAGTTGAAAATAAATAAACGCTCATTTTGTGTTGATATCACATTTTACATACTTTATTTAAATTTTTTGTTTGTTTATACCATTTTTTAATACTGCATAATGTGGATATTTGTGATAAATCAAACATAAAAAGAATAGCAACAGAATCATTACAAACAAAAGAAATAAATTCAGGGTGACCTATTTTGTATAATGAAAAAAATAATCAATGAATCAAAATCCCGACAAACAAAATTCTGAAAAAAAAACGTTAGCTTTACCAAAATCCCATATACTGAATCTAAATTTGTATCCTCGCAATGTAATAGTTCTTTCTTTAAAGTGAACGCCTTCAGAAATATTAATAGTAAAGAGTTAATTTTAAAGTTATTTAAAAATGAATAAAAAAACTTTGAGTCATTACCATTGGTTTGGTCATAAAATACATCAAAATCACCTTCAGTAAATTTACACATCAAACTAGTTTTACCGATTTTAGGATCGCCAACCATCCCAACCTTAATCACAACTCTATTTTAAAGGATTGATTACATAAGTAAGTAATAAATAAATATTAATTAAAAAATTACATACTCAACATACTCATTTCTCTCACTAGTATTACTAGGCATTTTTAACTGGCGAAGTTAAACAAATTTTGAAAATTTGGCGAATATATAACGGTGAGAGACTGCTACGGTCGATTTTTGGAATTGATTCTGTGCTGGGATCTGATTCCGTGATATTACAAAACAAACATATTCAAAATGGATAAAATGTGCACTCGGCAAATAATATTTCATTTTTAATTGACTATTCTAAAAATCAAAATATTTACTAATTATTTATAACAAAACAAAATTACTGTAAACTACTAGTCTTTGAATATGTAAAGTTAGAACATAGAAAAATCCCAATGATAAGACAAAGATCAATTCATTTCTTAAAATATTGGCTTGAAGGCGGGCGTTGATAAAGAAATTCAACATATAGAATTTTATTAATTTTACAATTCAAAAAATTAAATTCCTTGATCACTGATAAGAATGTTGAATAAAATGAATTTATCATCATACTTAGTAATTGACTTCATTTTTAAATTTATAGATCGATTATATTTTCTCTAATATAAACTAATTTTTTAAAAACATAAGTTATATTAATTTTTTATTTGGTGATAATTCTTAATTTCTGGTTCCGAAATTATAGTTCTTATGATTAATTACATAACGCCTAAAATAATAAAACAATATGCAAAGTCTCTAAATCAATATGTCTTTTTAAGATGATTAGGTTTAACAATTTTTGATTGTATTGGCGGGAACATTTTCTTTGTTGTTTACGCCCTCGGATCTAATAATAGTGGATAAGTGTGAATGAATAATTTGAGAAATAGAAAACCGTATCAAAGAATGCTTACTAAATGCATGCAATTCATAATAGAATAGTCAGCTACTGTGAAAATTCATCGTGCAAGGTTTAAAAATATTTCGGCAAATAGGATAATCTAAACTAGAGATGCTGAACTAAAATGAATCATGTAAACATTAAGGAGTATATTTTAAACAAAAAAACTGATCGTGAAAATATTAGGGATTGATAGTTTTATCTTTGTTTAGTGTCTTCCTCTTCCACAAACATATCAACTATCTTTATAGTAAAAAATGCAAATATTTAAGTTATATTCTATTGTGATTTTATTTAAGTAATGATTTTTAAAACTTTTTTTCGGTCTAAACAGATGTCGATTCCTCAGTTATTTTGTTTAACATTAAGGTTTTTAATAATATTGATACCTTAAATTGGTATTGATATACCAATACTGGGTGATCTTATAAAGTTCCAAGTCATTTCGATATCGATATTAGCGATTAACCCCATTCCGACTAATTTTGGCTGCTGTGAACATTTATTTTAGGATAAGTGTTTGTCTATGAATTATTTAAAAATTTATGAGGGTCTGCAGACCCGCCATATGCCATGCCTAACAAAGGTGACAACTAATCAATTAATTGATTAATCGATTAGTTGGTTAATCGATTAATAGTTGGGTCAAAATTACAATTGTGCTGTGATTATATATGTCCTATAATCAGAGTTAAGTATTCATATTCATATTTGGTAAAATTATGTTCTACGTAATTTAGAAATTCTATCAACGAAATTCAATTAATTGAAGTTTATCTAATCGTAAAATAAAACTTCTACTTGATAAATAAAAAAGAATTTTTAATATCTTACTTTAGTAATTTTCTATAAAAAGTTTTTAAAATTCCTTCATCAAGCATTCTATTAATACCGATACGATTATCCGACTATTAATCAATCATGTTTAAAAAAAAAAAAAGTAAAGATAAAAATAAGGATGAGAAAAAAGAAGATTACTATTTTATGGTGATTAATTTATTAAAAGACAATAATTTCGATGTGAAAACTTTGAAAAAACTCCTACTGTTCGGATCTCTTTTAAAGAATACTTTTTTTATCTCATCATCTGGTATGAAAAAATCAAAAAACAACAACAGTATTTAGATTTATATAATAAAGTTCAATATTATATAAATAATATGCGTCCATCTAATCCTACACACCACAATAATGAAATTCATGATCATTTAATAGTATGTAAATCATCAGGCATTAAATATGATTTAATAGAAAAATTTGATCAAGAAACTGGAAAATTTCTTAAATTTTTTATTGCGAAAAAAACGAACAGATTATTGAACATATAATAGAATATTTTTCCTATCAATATGCAATATCTAATGGAATGGATGAAGCAGAAACAGATTTATTTGAAGAATACATGAAAAAAAATGTGAAAAATACTACATCTTTTGATAAATATTACCAAGAGTGGTTTGTTTCACAACAAAAGTATGCTTAAAGTATATACAATTAATTTATTAAACAATTTCAATTTATTTTTACTAAAATATAATGTATGATTATTAGGATAGGAGCAAAATGAGCGATTGACTAACAGGAGATTATGTAAAGAACAAAATTTAAGAGAAGCTATGTATTGGATAATTTCGACCCAAATTTCTGGTATTAAAAAACTTGAATTCATTTTCATAGTGTTGGTTTTGCATAAACTGCACTCTAAGATTTTATGGCAATAACCTCTGTATTTGGCTTTCAAAAAATAAGCTATTATTAAAGTTTCGCATTTTAAATTATATTCAATGATGGTTTCAATTTAAATTTAAATCAATTGAAAATATTAACTAAATTCAGCAATTTTGTTTTATCATAA